CAGTGAGCGACTTCTCAAATCGAAATGTTAAAGTTTGGTTTTGTAAGTGAGCGCCCACCACGACTTTCATTGTAGAAATATAATTACTTAAACTAAACCTACTTGAAAATGAACAGCCAACTAAACAACTTTTGCTCGAAATTGTGTCTCAGTAAGTGACCCTATAATCATCATCATCATCATCATCATCATCATCATACGGAGATCCCATTCACAACGCCACACCGGGTGTTTTTATTCCTCATTATGTAAGAAAGGTCCGCAATTTCATATTTTTGTATTGTACCACTCTCGCACTATCCATTGTATGAAAACTATAATAAATAGGGCCTACATCAGTTCATATTTAGTGATTTTCGTGATATGCTCAGGGCATCTCGGCAGTGATATAAATATGGGCCACTGGCTTTTTGAAAAGAAAAAAAATTATTCCGCAAACAGAATCGCCGAAATTAATCTTCCACTATACGGCCAGGGGCCGATTCATGCATTATGCACTCGACTGGTATCGGGTGTGATTTATTGCCGGTCGGCTGGGCACGAGGTGGAACGGAATGCCGCGAGTAACTTTTTTTCTTTCTGTGTAATCAGGTTTTTTAATCTTGACGTGACTTCCCATATTATCATGCTACGTATCTAACCTGCGGCTGGCTGGAAAAGGAAGAATAATAAATATGATTTGACAGTGTCGAGTGGAGTAGACATGTGACGTAATAACTCCAGCCTCGTTCCGGGGTTAACTTGTCGACCTCGATAAGAAAAGTAGCAGTAAAGAAATAACAACGGGTTCTTATATAGCGCTTTTAACTTAGGATCGAAGCGCTTTACATTAGTATTACCCCTGATCATTGGGCCAATTATACATTCCAAATATAGAATACAGCTAGATGCTGCATGTTAGGTGCAAGGAAGCTAGAGTCAATCACAGTAACTATCTCTGCCCTCACAGGTACCCATTTACTCCTGGGTGGCGAGAAGCAATGAGTGACAAAGTGCCTTGCACAAGGACACACGCACCATAGCCACAGGCTGGACTGGAACCCACAACCTGCAGAATTACCCGCAAACCGCGTATTCAATGCTCCAGACCACGAGCCCACCGAATATTACCAGTGGCGTAACCCAACCCCCCCCCCCCCCCCTTGACAAAAAATATGAAACAACGGGTGCCCCCCCCCCCCCCCAAAAAGTTTAAACCTTTAGTTACGCCTCTGCGTGTTGCTCGACGCCCTGGTGGAGAAAAGTTTGCAATGACTCCACACTGTGTTTACCACTTTCCATTTTCGGGAAAGTTGGGGGCTGAACGTCGATAAACTGTCGGGGGCCTTTTCCGAATTCGTTGGCGAAGTGTCAAAATCCGATCATATTTTATATCAAACTAAAACAAACAAAAACATTCGGAAAAGCCAATAATCAATATATTTCGGGGGAAACCGATTTCTTTGTAGCAAACCGAAGGCAAACCCGTATCTTGACGTGAAAACCCATGTTACAGTATTGGAAAGTAAAATTTAAGTAATGTGCGTGTCGATAAATTGACGAGCAAAATTAACGCAAACCCAAATTAAAGCATTTTTAAAGGGGTGATCTAAAGTAGATTTAATACACTCCTTTTCTTCGAGTTATAATAAATATGAACACCATCAGTTGAAGTAATAATTATGATGATGTAATCTTATGTGGTCCAATTGCTCCGATAGTGTGGATGAGTCGTTTTCACGATTGTAGTATAGTAAAAGCGATTTTAAGTATAATACGTGAAGTTTAACTGTTACTGAAAAATGTAATGATTAGTTCCATAACACTTAAAGTTCATAAATAATTCTGATTTTGTTTAATAGTTATTTAACGGGGCCTGGTCAAGCTTCTGTTGCCTCGATTTTTGCTGGTGTCACATATGAAATTTTTCTTCCTGTGACATCTTCTTTTATTAAAACCCTGACACGTGACTTGTTACTGTTCTCGATCTTATTCTGTCCACTGAGCTCTGTCAATCGAGCCAATGAGTCCTAATTTTATAGAGTCAATATTTCATACTACACTGACACCCCCCCCCCCTCAACAAAAAATGTAATATTTGAATATGATCATTCATATGAACAATTCACATAGGGATGAATGTGAATTGTTTTCGTTTTGCTGAAAGAACGCTTACCTTTTTTGTGATCCGTGGACGGAACTTTAAAACGGTGGTTGTGTTTAAAATTCTGTAACTTGAAAAGTACATAAGTGATTTGAATGATTCTCATTCTAAAAAGAAAGCTCATGAATTGGGTTTTCATATACTAGATTTTGAAAGTGCTACATGCAGAACTTCACTAACAAAAATAGTCTCGACTCCAATTTATAATTCAGGGCAGGTCAATATTATTAACAAGCAAGCGCTCTACAGACACTAACGGTAAAGTGAATCTTGAACTGAATAAAACACAGTTGTCATGTAGTCTTTATCTCACTACAGAATTTTGCGACCCAATTTTCCCCGCCAAATTGAGACCGAGCGCCGATAGACGGCAAGCTAACGAGCGATTCGGGTCACACCATTGTCTCCTCCAGAAACGTAAATTGAATTCTCCTGCCATCACCCAGTTATTTTTTATTTATCTCTTTCATCTGCAACGAATTATGAGAAAGATAGACGCGCCCCCGCGCGGTCCTCCAAGGTTATTTTTATACCCGTTGCTAGGCGATGGCGGCAAACATCCCTGCAGAACTCCCAACAGCTGTTTTGTTTTCGTGCTCGCGTTAGAAATGAAGAGTGGGCGAACATGCATGAAATTGCTCCTCCATGGTTGGAATCAGTCCTGTCGGTGCTTGAGTGTGGAGCTACCCCCCCCCCCCCCACCAGAGAAGAAAGAAGGAATGGAAATAATGGCAGGAAACAACATGAACATGCTGTTAAGAGGCATCGTTGTTCTCCCTAGCAACGGCTGCCGTGGGATGCGGCGGCTGTTTGGAAACGGCACGTTCGAGCGAGTGTTTCGACGCCGCGTTGTAACATTTTGTTTCCCGCAGGTAAAATCTGTGGCGGTGCGGCCTTAAAATGTAGCATGACAGCCGTGTCCATTTGGTAATCGCTCTTTTTTTTTGGCGTTGTCAAGTTCAATTTTCCCTAAGTGTGTTTTAAAGGGCCTATGAATGTGTTTAATGCAGTCTTTAAAAGTGCACCTTGCTGTCCAATTTAACTTGTTAATGCAAATTGCGTAGTCATGAGCTAAACTGTGATGTTATTCAAGGTAAAAAAAAACTTCAGTGTTACATTTGCTTTCAGCACAGAAAAATGCCAGAATTAGGATGTTCACTGTGATAAATTTTCTGATTTTTGTGACTCGCTTTTGTTTCAGCACACGAGCGAGCACATTTTCGGTTCACAATTGAACAGCGCCCTCATCTGTCAAGAAAAGGATGGAGCATATTAAATGTATATAAAGAGGTACACTTTACAAAACTGGTAACCCAAAAGAGACGTTTCATCGTTTCAATACATTTCCGAGGAATAGAATGAATTGAATTGAATTGCATAAAATGTGTTCCACTGCAAAAATCGTATCGTGATCCCTTGGGGGGGGGGGGGGTTCTGCACTATGCAATGTTTGCATGATAATTTCAACCATCGTTGCTGTGGAGCTGCCACATTAGCAACAAATACCGTATTGATTTTACCCCCATTGCCCGCTCGTGTTAGTCGTGTTAGTAGGTTTGATGGGCATTCGGCTTCCTCCGTTGCACGGTACTTTCATGTCACTGAATTTAAATAAACAAATCTTGTTCCTTGTGGGGCGCCCTTTGCAAAAGGTCAGTGTTCAAACCTGAAATTTGAATGAATTTTAAGTAAGATTTGAGGCGCTGCATGGTGGAGATACTAATGAATGAAAGGTTTGCGGAAACACCATGTGGGACTAATTTCTCAAACTTAGAGAATGGTTCTGAGTTTATACCTCTGGTTCTTTTTAGAACCATTCTCTTAGTTTGAGAAATTATTCCCACATGGTGTTTTCGCAAACCTTTCATTCATTGAATGAATTTTATTATATAGATATCTGATTTCACAGTCCAGCAGTGTCCCTAAAACAAGCTTGGGCCAATTCCATGAAGCTGCTATAAGCACAACAATTTGCTTAGCACCGTAACGTCTTGCTCTGGAAAAACAGGCTACCAGCCAAAATTCCATGCGATTTTTATGTTAACCGAACAGCAGCTGAACACCAGTAACAAGCAATATACATCACATGAACATTTGGTTGGTAATCCTGCTTTCTTTTTTTTTCAAGGAAAAAATATCATGCTAAGCAAATTTTTGTGTTTAGCAGCTCTACAAAATTGGCTCAAGATGAGCAAGTCTTGTAAAAATGGTCTCACAGTGAAAAACATATATTCAACTGATTTATGGCTAAAAAATTCGTAGGCAGTACATGTACTCTTGTTTTACTGGATAGGCATGTTAAAGGGAAAAAAGGCCTCCTTCCTTTTTTATTTCTCTCGAAAAGCCCGAATGAGAAACCTACTTTTTGTACTTGGCCTAACTCATTAAAATAATACCACGAAGTCATAGGTTTTGCATTATGGATGACTTATAGCCTATGCCTCAGTGCTAAACAAGATGTTACGAACTGCTCATTTGTAGGAAGATTCATGTTTGCTCTCGCAGTCTCAATGGGCTTGGTACGTGCCGTTGCTAGCGATATAAAAACACGTATGGCTTGATTTCAAGGAAACGACGTAGGACATCGATCGGTTTGCTTTCGACAGATCTAGAGGGCGCTGTAAAGAGCGTCAATGGGGTAGAAATAAGGCCGCGAAAAGTGCATGCCATCTTTTCCAATTGGTTTATTTTATGATCCAAATTTGACTCTCTCTCAATTTGTACAGGCTTGTTTTTTTAAGACTATTTTCTGTGTACTTACTCACATCTGTTTGTTTCCAAAACTAGTGTCGTAGCAGCGCCCCCAATAGTTTGAAAAGTTGCGAAGCTAGAACATCAATACCGCCCTCTTGCACGTAACATTCGTCACACACGCAACTGCACAGACCGTCCACAACGATACAGTGCCGCTGCCATTCTAGTTCTGCTGTCGTTAGTCCAATAGGCCTGGATGTAACCTGTACGGTGTTGATATCTATGGAGTGGATTTATACGATGTGAATAATGATATCTATGGAGTGGATTTAACTGTATGTTTGTTTGGCATTTGATTTTCACAGATGCGCATGACTCTTCTCAAGCCAGTGTGGTTTATTGGTAAGTGTTGCATATTTTTATTAATGATGTTGATTGTTGATATAACTCTCTCTGGTTTAATATTGTTAATATAAGGATCTCCGTCTTTTGGTTACGTAAGCTCAACAAAGGTGGATCCATGGGGTGATTGGGGTGGCTAACCACGCCCCCACCCCACTGACCAAAGATAATTAATTAAATAATGAAAACGTCAGCAGACAATATTGAAGATTTTGGTTCATAAGGCATTTGGTTGAGTGCAACCAAACGCCCCCCCCCCCCAAATATCCCAGCAAACTCACTTTGGAAACTCATGGACCCGCCACTGCTTGCGCGGACAACTAAGAAATAATGTCAGATAACGTTCGTTCTTTTCCGTATAAACGATTTCGGAGAGATGTTATGGGAAAATTAAGACAACTTCCAAGATAGCTTCTCGGTACAGTCAGACGTCTTTCACTAAGACATAATCGATCGATTGTGGGGCAACAGATGTTGAAGGCATTATGTTTACCCCGAAGCACAGACGTACGGGTCCGTACCGATACAACGCTACCCCTTGGTCGTTAATTTAACGACCAAAGTTGACTATAAGAACAGTCAAACTCAACCTCGTCCACATGGCATTGAGCAGAACCCAAAAAGGGTTAAGTCAAAACTAGGACACCGGGTCAAAATCTGACCGTGACCTTTTACAGTGTAAGTTGATTAAAGAAGTCATAAAGGGTGCTCCGTGATTTTTTTGCATTATTCAAAATGTATGGATAATAATTGCGCAAAAATGCATTCCCGAGTGTGAAACTTCACTCCGTCGGACCCTTTAAGGAGAGCTATCAAGAGCCCTAACAAGCCCTCTGGCAAAGACATTTCCGACGGCTGCATTTGACTGAGACGGTGGACAAACAGTCTTGACTGTCTGCCTCTTGATATTAAGAGAGATTTCCAGATGGAGGGAAAAAAGGGGAGAGATGAGTGCCGCTAGCAAAACGCTCGCCCTGTTGACTCTGCTTGGAGGGCGAACCGACGACTCGGGTGTGATGGGGTTTATTAAAGGGAACCTAGCTCTCGATTGCGCCGCTTTGGACTCTTAAAACGTGTTTCTCGCAAACTAATACGCGTAGACGGAAAAGATCATTTAAAGGGGCACTAGGTCCTGAAATCCTCGAAAATTTCATTTTTTGTTTGTTTATGTACCCTATTTCAAACACCTGGTTGAAAGGAAACCAACCTAATGTCTTACCGTTCCCGAGAAAAGACGCAAAAAACCTCGGTTGTTTACATCGGACACGACGGAGTACGAATACGTTTTTCCTGTCGTTTTCAGTCAGTGTACGATACAAGCCTACACGTTGTGTGTGTCTACACAGTAGCTATGTGGATGTTTATATCCTAGTTTTAAATGTTCTTTCCGATTAACATCATCTCATCTCAAAGCGCGTTTTGTAGCCCAATTGGGCTGTTCCAGGACGCAGTGTCCCTTTAAAATCAGCCTCGAGTACAGGGTCTAATTTCAACCTCGAGACAATAGTAGACCCTGAGAGGGAACCTGCTTCATATATTCGTATTCGCTATTCCGCAGTACAGCAAGTAACGGATTTATATCATGTACTTGGTGAATTTATTTTCAACGTGTATTACGTGAATCATTAGTTTAATCCTCATGAAAACAATCCTATTTTCATTTAGATTATTATATTTGCGTTGGATTGGTAAAAGTATAACCTACATTTTTAAACATTTACGTGCGTCTGATCTTACGCTAAATTCATTCCGTCCGTACCCTGGACTGCAGCAAACAAAATACACACACTGATATAAATTAAGCATGAAACGGCACCAGACTATTCCGTATAACTCCGTACCCAATCATGACGTGGAACATTTTTGAACATGCAAAACGATCCAGTACAATGATGAGAAAGCAGCTAGTGCGAGCGTACTGCTCGACGCTATGGGGACGACGTAGATTTAAAGGGAATGTACAACATTTGCTTTTGCTGCAATTTTCAGAAATAAATGGATTGGGAGGATTAGTATGTTATAGCAAATATTGTTAAATTGACTTGCTTCACGTTTCCGGGGTTTGAAGATGCTGGAAAATCCAAGAAAACCAACCAAGTTTTTGAAGTCTGGTTCCCTGACCCCACGTAAGATGAAACGGAGCAATTTATAGACTTTGGAGGATTGCAGGGTCAGAGAATCCGTCTAGAAGGCTTGTACCCCTTCACAGGTGTGTAATCAATTGCAAAGAAAATGCGGAATAACTAAATATGAAAAATTAGGGGTACTTTTTGAAAACAGTCAGTTTTCTCCAACGCTGGTCGGCCGACCAGCGTTGGAAATACAAGTTTTCTTGAAAATGTCAGAACACCAGGAGCCACGATTTTACAGGATGCTTTCGACTGCCATTCCCTAACAATCCAGTAAGATATTTGGTGATAATTTGATCATTCCGTTTTTTGATGTTTGCAAATGTTGTATCTTCCCTTTAAAATGGACGTCAATAGTGCACACAACTCAACGTATACCATGGACATGTTGGGCCGGTTTGTTTTCATGAAAGAAGGACATTGTGGTTCCCATTATTTTGTTGAGCAATTGAAGCGCTACATCCGTTTTCAAGTTTTTTTCACAAAATAGCAGCGCATGTAATCTTTCACATGGGATCTGATTTCCTACAGTGAATTGACCTATGCTCAGCATTCCTTAATCCAATCATAATAAAATGGCGCCAGTCTCATGTTGAGAGCTCTGGAATTATACACTGCAGAAAATACTAATGCATTTACCAGTAGGAATTACAGTTGGACTTCACTCAGTCATTTAGGCCTATACAATGTTCTCGTCTCAATGGTGTGTCAAGCGGTGGCAAAATCCATCGAATTTATGAGCTAAAGCTGACTGTCACCATTAAACTGCCGTAGCATATGTATAGCGGTGCAGCAGGTCCTCTGACCACAGTACTTGTACTTTTGCTGTTCCTTGCCTTTCTTTATAATGTTGTGAGAATGGCTAAATGATTATAATAATAATAATAGCTGCATACACCAATGATTAGATTGTAAAGGACCAAAATGGAGGACCGCAAGCTCGATAATTACACGTTAACCGCGTCTTTGCAAGGTATATGACATAATTCTTTTATTTCTCTTTTTTTTATGATCTTTTCAACTATTTCGTTGGAAATGCGTTTAAAGGCTATAGGATCATTTGCATTTGTCCCAAAAGATATCTACCGAATTATTAACAAAAAGTTCCCTTGGATTAAAGATCCTGATGGTATAAAACACCCCGTGAAATTATTCTGTCTGGCTGGCTGCCATTTAGAAGAAAACAAGTGATGTATGTGATGTCCAACGATCAGTCCATTGACTGATTTTTGGAAATAAAGAGTGCTAGTTGGCAAAAATGATGTTATGCATGTTTTTTCCCCCAACTGTATTCTCGGAAATTGTAATACCCACTGAGCTGAAAGTTTAACAGATTAGGTTTTGCAACATTCCTCTTAGAAATTTGAATGGTGTAATTATCGGAAACGAAAACAAAAACGCACAAAAAGCAAAACTGTTTTATATCAAATAAAATAATAGAGTAAAGGGCAATGATTCCCATGAGCTTTTTGTTTAATTATATACGGACACTTTCATGACGAGATAAGTTATTTGAATGAGCCTCATAGCAAATATCACTGCATTATAATTATGCGGTGCAGACGAAGAACATCTCAAGGAGCACTTTGTTTTAGGCCTAATACAGTCTGACCTTGTATAAAATGCAAGGTGATGAAGTGGTTGCAGAAAATGACCGCTCATGTACAATAAATATAGTTCCTGTTAATCCTATTAACTCCCTGGGCATTTTTGCTAGGATGCAACCTCAATCCTGCAAAATCTCCCAACTGCCTCCGTGTAAAAATAGCATGCAGCCTCAATCCTGCAATATCCTCCGTTATTTCTTGAATGTGGTCCCTGGATGGGTGACCACAACCTCCACACCACTGCCTCCATTCTGCAAACTCCTCCAACAATCACTGTCAATATGTTGAGGCAGAGCCAGTGACATCCTGGATCAGTACGGAGGATGTCAAGTATAATCTTGGCCGACATTCGGATCGGCTGAGCATAAACAACACATAGTCCGGCTAAATACCTTGATACAGTGCATACTCCAAAATCAGCCGCACACTGTTGCCATATAGCCTCAATCCCTGCCAAATCATAAATTATACCTTAGGGAGACACCGGACATCAGAGACTCAACGTCTCCCTATTGTCACAGCTCCTCATTAGAGGCAAAAGTTTGATATCGGAAATAGGCTAGATCGGTGGCTCGTAGTCCAAAACATATAAATATACCAAAAGTCACGGAGGTAAATTGGGGTTAGGTGTCATTACAGGTAAATGAGTTTGGGTATAAATGTCTCCCTAATTAATAGGTACCATTTCCCGTATTATTAACTTACTGAGTCATTATTGAGTGTTTTACTACATGTTTTGAACCCATGTTTGCTGACACGGCTGACCATCGCTTGGTTTCTTTTGTGAACAGTTTTATTCCAAGTTCTCCTGGAAGCAACCTGTCAAACGACGTGCCCCGCCGAGCAACTAAGCGGCCTGGCCTGGCCCGAGTCCGACTCCGGACGGAATGTCTCCGTACAGTGCGCCCCTGGCGAGCCAGGTAAGGATAAACCCATCACTGTAGTCAGGTTACAAGACTTAATTGGCCCAATAGACTGCAATGACAGATGCTCTGTTTCTCAGCAAGCCGTAATTGTCATCAACCTTTATTGTAAACAGCAAATGGTATACATAACCACTTAAACACATGTTTGAGTTTTTGCCAAGAAAACAGCCAGCATGCCCAAGCCAAACAAAATTACCATTTACCAAATTTAAAAGGTGCACAATCATTCCAAACAACTGGTGAACTTTAATTAATACGTTAAATGAGCCGTTACTCTCCGGATTAAGACTTGAAGTTGCAGTAAAATATTCCTGAATTGGTGCTTTTTTTCCCCCACATGTGACTCATGATGACAAACTCAAGGCTATTACATGTCTTAGAGAGTAGTATGAAAAATGGAAATAAGCGAGGATTTCAGTTACTTTCTTCCCATATGTGCAAGCAGTCATGGTGACAAACTTAAGTCGAAAATGTCATAGAAGGAAGCGTTGAACTAAGTGGACCGTTAAACTCATTATACCTCTGGCCGGGAAGCATTTCCTTGCCATGCCATGTTATGCGAAATTATGTACAAAAGCTATTTTGCCTTGCATTTAAAGTAACATTATGCAAAGTGCGGAGTCCCCGCTTGGGTTTAGTGGTATATAGCTAGAACTTGAACAGTTTGTTTCAACTGAAGCTATCAAATAAATACATCTAACATGCATCAATAAAATGTTGAAGAATCAAATATAAGTGTGTTAACTTTTATTTGACATATTAATAATCTGGAGCACTTTTTTAAAAATTCGCTTTGCTGCTAAAATGCCTCAAATTGTTTATACCAATTCTTCCGCAGTACATTTTGAATGTATTATCCAAACATTGTTAAAAGGACCTTTCGGCTAATTAATTTGGACACTATTATATAGATCCTCGTTTTTTCCTTTGATAGTATGTTGGACACGTTAAATCCCGATGCACGACCCTTTACACCATGTTTATTGGTGTTGGGATGAATGCGTGAGTTGCCATGGGTTTACTACATTGATTGGATAAGAAAACCAGAGAAGTAGGAATAATGACCGCCATGGATACTTGTTCCACTACTAATACTCTTATTCACGATGCGAACCGTATCCCCGCTGGCCATAACGAGGACCACTGAATTACTGGACTGGTGGTGGTAGCCTGGATGATTGTCATAAACATAAAAGATGAGTTGTCCGTTCATTTCCAGTATTGCACTTGGCGTCGGTCCTGTGTGATATCCCAGGATGGTCAAGCTGAAGAAATAAACACCTGCTATGTTGCAGGTGAAGATTCCAGTTTGCTGATTGTACGCGTCTCCGATGTTTGTACGGACGTTGCCAAAGACAACCACATCGCCACTATTTCCTGTAAAATGACCACTCAGGCTGGCGCTGAAAGCGACGACAGAGGGCGGTGTTGGGGTCACGTAGGTCGAGTCTCCAGGCTCACCTTTTCCTCCCTTCTCCCCCTTCTCTCCGCTAGCACCTGCCGGCTCAAGCTTCCCCGGCTGACCAACGAGTCCCTGAACCCCCGGCTCTCCTTGCTCCCCCTTCTGACCGTGATCGCCCATGTCTCCCTTGGGTCCAGGTAGACCCGAGCCAGGCTCACCTTTTTGACCTATTGACCCCTGGAGGCCGTTATGAGCCGGCACACCTGGAATCCCAGGCAGGCCAGCTGGTCCCGCGGGACCCTGGAAGCAAGTGCTGCAACACGATCCTTTAGGAGGACATGCCGCTGACATCTCGGAATCACTGGGTTGTGCAACTGCAAGGCAGGGACGATAGACGGCCCACAGTAGCAGAGAGGTGGGCAGGAGTACGGCGGCAAATCTCACGTTCAGCTGTGCGTTGAGATAAAGAAAAATACATGTACCAAATTATTCCAAAGAGATCAAATGTACTTTTGGAACCTTAGGATAAGTCTACATTAAGAAAAAAATGTAAAAAAAACCCCATGAATATAGGATAAACTGTAAAGAAACGGAATAGATGAAAGATGTAAATTCTGGGTTAGGGTGTCGATCTTAGACGGCCATGAAAAAAACCCTGTGCAACGTCAGGGGAAATCACGTCTGGCCATTTCGAGTGTATGAGTAAATCTATATTCGTATAATTATTAACTTGCATGGCCCACAAATGCCGTTAATGCTGCATTATACTCACATAAAGAAACAACCGTTCAGTTCATAATTCACGGTGTCTATAAGTGTTTTATTGTTGTATCGGTGTTGACTGTTTTTCAAAAGCTTACCTGTAACTCCATTACGGCGTTCCAATCGATACTGCGCTCAAAAATCTCAGGTCTCAGTCAAAAAGTGCAGTTTCAAAACGGTACACGTTCAGCTGATAGTGATATTAGAGAGTTAACGCAATAAACGATTGCATTTAGGACTGGATAGCGATTGATTGCCACGGAACCAACTGAATAGCACGAAGAGATACACGGCTTAAAAACCCAAAGAACCTGAACCCGAAAATGATGCCCAAAATACAACTGACCAATGACAACATGAACAAATGACATCATCCAACAGAATAAGCGTAACTATCCAAACTACCGACCAATGATATCCCAACTAAATGACGTCACTGCCTACGCCTCATTCTAAACCCATACTAAATACACGGATGGTTGAAAGTTCATCCCCTTGCGGTTTCAACCAATATGGTTTCACATCACGTGGTAGTGTAATCTGGTGTATTGCATGCTTTCTTTCAGGCACCGTTGGGTGTGTAGTTTCTTGAAGTCCTGATCGAGTTTCAAGTTTAAAAAAAATAATTTGCTGAGCTTTGTAACATTGTCTTTAGCATCCCAATGAAGGGCGCGTCGGGGTGTTAAAACCACCATATTTTTTCCCTCTCTCTCTGATTAATTGTTGAAAAAATCTCGGAGACTAAAATGTTCCAAGCTGCTTACTGAGAAGACATATCACACACAAAAATGAGGGCCGCAAGTGTCGAATCAAGCAGAGTAAAATGTTGCATGAATATGTCATGGATTTTTATAAATATTGTTGGGTCTGCACGTTATTAGTTACATATACATTTGTCTTCTTCAGACAGTCGTATAGCACGGTTAAAAAAACCAAGGGTAAAGTGGAAGTTAATTTCAAGGAAAAAGTAATGATAAATAATAACTATGATAAAAATGTGTTTTCAGATGTGGTCAAACCAGGTCATTTGAAGCTCTAAAGTAAGGGATTTAAGTATTACCAGTTTATTTGCAATCTTTTAGTTGCTAGGAGGCTTCGGGACAGCCCTTGAAAACTCCCAGAAGCAATAAAAACGCAGCAAACGATCGAGCTGAGGTCTGAAACACCGTTGACCCTCAAATCACTTTAAAAACCAACTGATACAAGAAGTTCAACTCAAGGGAGGGACCCTGGAAGTTCTGAAATAACTCTAATGACAGATTCGCTGATTCAGTGCCAGAAGGCCAAGTCATCCACCTTTATTGTTGACAGCAAAAAGTACGCCTAACGACTCGAGCAGAGTTTGAGCCCTTGCCAAAAAAAGAAAAGCCAACATGTTTAAAAGGCTTTGATAAAGGTTTACAAAATTACCATTGACCAAATAAAAAAGATGCATAATCTTTATAAACAACTGTTCAAGTTTAATACCTTGTAGAGCAGCTAGGCTACTTCCGATTCTAAGAGTTACAGTTTTAGACATTGCTAGACTGGTGCACTTTTTCCCATAGGTATAAGCAATCATGGTGACAAAGTAAAGTCGAAAATGTCATAGAAGGTAGCATTGAAATAAGCGGACCGATTAACACATTATACCGCTCGCTGGGAAGCATTAAATTGCTGCCATGTTATATGAAATAATGTACAAAAGCTATTTTGTCTTGCACTTAAAAAAACATTATGCAAAGTGACATACTTCCCCGCTTGGTTATAGGGGTACATGTGCATAGCTACTTAAAATTGAAGGTTAACCTGTCAATAACTTGGCTAGTTTGTTTCAAACTGAAGCTTTCAAATAAACACATCTAACATGCATCAATAAAATGTTGAAGAATCGCAAATAAGTGTGTTAACTTTCATTTAACATTATTAATAATCTAGAGCGCTTTTTAAAAATTCGCTTTGCAGTTACATTTTCAAAAATTGTTAATACGAATTCTTCCGCAGAACCTTTTGATTATATTCTTCCCACATATTATAAAAAGGGTTTTTCTGCTAATTAATGTAGACACTATTTTATGATCCTCGTTTCCCCTTTGATAGTATGTTGGACACGTTAAGTCCCGATGCACGACCCTTTACACAACGTTTATTGGTGTTGGGATTAATGCTGGACTTGTTATATGGATTTATTGCGTCGCTTGGATCAGAAACCCGGAAAAAGAAGAAAATTTGCTGCCACGAATACTTTGTCCACCATGTCTCAGATTCACTAAGCCAACCGTATCCCCGCTGGCCATAACGAGGACCGCTGAATTACTGGACTGGTGGTGGTAGCCAGGATGATTGTCATAAACATAAAAAATGAGTTGTCCGTTCATTTCCAGCTTTGCATATGGACTCTGTCCTGAGGTAAGGCCCATGATGGTCACGCTGAAGAAATAAACACCTGCTATGCTGCAGGTGAAAACTCCAGTTTGCTGATTGTACGCGTCTCCGATGTTCGTGCGGACTGTGTCAAAGACAACCACATCGCCACTATTTCCTGTAAAATGACCACTCAGGCTAGCGCTGAAAGCGACGACAGAGGGCGGTGTCGGGCTCACGTAGGTCGAGTCTCCAGGCTGACCCTTTCCTCCCTTCTCCCCCTTCTCTCCGCTAGGACCTGCCGGCCCAAGCTTCCCTGGCTGACCAACGAGTCCCTGAACCCCCGGCTCTCCTTGCTCCCCCTTCTGACCGTGATCGCCCATGTCTCCCTTGGGTCCAGGTAGACCCGAGCCAGGCTCACCTTTCTGACCTATTGACCCCTGGAGGCCGTTATTACCGGGTACACCTGGAATCCCAGGCAGGCCAGCTGGTCCCGCGGGACCCTGGAAGCAAGCGCTGCAACACGATCCTTTAGGAGGACATGCCGCTGACATCTCGGAATCGCTGGGTTGTGCAACTGCAAGGCAGGGACGATAGACGGCCCACAATAGCAGAAACGTTGGCAAGAGTAGGGCGGCAAATCTCACGTTCACCTGTGCGTTAAAATAATTATTCCGGATAGATCAGATATGCACTTGGAACGTTATGATTAGTCTAAATTAAGTAAACAATGTAAGAAATAAACTAATGAATATAAACTGTAAAGAAACGGAAAAGATAAAAGGTCGATCCTGAGATCTGGTGTCGATTTTAGACGACTATCAAAAATACACCTTATATTACGTCAGCGAAAATCACGTCTGGTGATTTCCGAGTGTATAAGTTAATCCTTACTCGTATAAATTTTGGTTTAAGTTATATGACCTACAAATGCCTCCAAAGCTGCATTATGTTCATATGATGAACAGTCGCTCGGTTCGGATGTCATTTTGCATGTTTTTGTTAAGGTTTCATGCACACAAACAGGGGTGGAGCCAGGAATTTTTGCAGGGGGGGGGGGTCATCAGCAAAATGATGTTGAAATGAAGACAGCTTTTTTTTTCTCTGGACACTTAGCCTCCGTATAATCAATAGGTGTGGAGGGGGTGGGGGCCCTTGTACCATACTTTCAATGGGGGCGCTGCTATTTGTACTTGTACATAATGTACAAATGCCCCTGTAATCCAGCTGGCTCTGTCCGTATTTTGTGCACAGACGTATATCATTACCAGTACAATTATTTGGGGGATCTGAGCGGGGGGGGGGGGGGGGGGTGTTTCACGTTATTTTTAGTTAATTTTTATGAAAAAAAAAATTGAGTCAGAGGTGGGGGGAGGGGTAGTGATTTTGACCCCAAAAAACCCGCTCTGGATCCGCTCCTGAGGAAGTAGCCTAAAAACATCCGGTTATTTTGCTGTGTCTATTAGTTTTCTATTGTTAAACCGGTTAGTTTTTTCACAAGCTTACCTGTAATTCCATTACGACGTTCCAATCAATACTGCGCTCAAAAATCTCGGGTCTTGGACAACAACTGCAGATTTGAAAACGGTGCACGTTCAAGTGATCGTGATCACAGACACTTAACGCAACAAACGATTGGATTTAGGACTTGATAGCGATTGATTTCCACGGAACCAACTGAATAGCACGAAGAGATACACGGCTTAAAACCCCAAGAACCTGGTCACCGAAAATGATGCCCAAAATACAACTGACCAATGACAATATCAAAAAATGACATCACCCAACATAATTAGCGTAGCTATCCAAACTAACGACCAATGAAATCCCAACTAAATGACGTCACTGACTACGCCTCATTCTAAGCCCATACTAAATACACGGACGGTTGAAAGTTCACCTCGTTGCGGTTTCAACCAATCACATGCAGGGTTTCACATCACGTGATAATGCAATCAGGCGTACTGCTTTCTTTCATGCACCGTTGGGTGTACAGTTTCTTGCAGTCCTGATTTGCAAGTTGTAAAAATTTACCTTTGCTGAGCTATTGTCTTCAGCAACCCAACAAAGGGACGGATCGTGTGTACCACCGTATAATTTTTTTTATCCCCTCTCTCTGGTTAAGTCTTGAAAAATCTCAGAAATAACAAACTTCTACAAATTGGTATAGGACAACTTACTGATAGTTAGCCTGCTTATACTGACAGGACAACATGCAAAAGATTGAGTGCCTGCCGTCTCGAATCATACAGGGTAAAAAGTAATTTGTTCCTCATTTTCGAAAGTTCTGAGGTATTGCACGTAGATTAGTTATGCTTGTCCTATTCAAACAGTGGTATAGCACGGTAAAATACAAGACTACAGTGAATGACAGTTTCAGGGAAAAATAGAAGATAAAGCAAATAGAGTAATAACATTGCATTAAACTAAAACGTATATATACAAATAAGTAACGCTTTAGCTGTCATTCGAGTTGTTCTAAGGATGGACTGATTGACATATGAATGGGGTTTGTTCCATTATCCTAAGGCTGTGTTGTGGAAATTAAGATATTTGAATCAAGTGAATCTAATAAAATCTCTTTTCGTAAGACGTTAATGTGTTTACCATCCCCATGTCTCTATAAATTATTTTGAATCTGACCGTGAGCCTGATGTAACATGGTGGATTAGTGCTTTTATTATCATAAATGAAATAAGGACAGTAGTATGGTCAATTTCAACAACCATTTGTTTACAATAGGAGGCTTCGGGACGGCCCTTGAAAACTCCCAGACACAGTAGCAAACGATCGAGCTGAGGTCTGGAACACAGTTGCATGTTGACCTTCAAATCACTTAAAAACTAAATGACACAAGAAGTTTAGCCAGAAGGAGGGACTCTGGAATTTCTCAAATAACTGCAATGACAGATGCGTTGATCAACAGCCAGCCATAAACTTTTATTGTAAACAGTAAATAGTAGACATAACTACTTGAACACATGTTTGAGACTTTGCCAAGAAAACAGCCAGCATGAAGGAAACACACTGGATATAAAGAGCTAACAAACTTGCCATTGACCGAATTAAACAGGTGTACAATCGTTCAAGACAGCTGGTAAAACTTAATGCGTTGAAGAGCAGTTACATTCCGATTTAAGAGTTACGGTTAAAAATTGCTGAACTGGTGCACTTTTTTCCACATTGTGTAAGGTATCATGACAACTAGCTAAAGACGAAAATGTCATGGAAGGTAGCATGAAAACAAGCGAGAATTTTAGTAACCTAATCAAGTTTGATTCAAAGCTGCCACAACGAATGCTTCCTGAACACGAGAAATATGAGCACTGTGTATGTTAACGATTTGAATCACTTTGTTTTCGCGTGTGAAATAAGATAGGTGGACAATTGGATATCATTATCAATATGCTTCTAAAACCAAATCTAGAGTTAAGAACATCATTCACAATCATCTTCAACACCTGGAATCGTAATACTATTTTGTGTTTAAAAGAAATCTGACACTTCAGATTTGAAAATTCAGATGAGGTTTGCATGAGGGTGTGATTTCGAACGAAAGCATGCTCGCATAATAACATCCGATTTACCTTCCCTTCCATGCATTATTACAAAATCGTATCTTTGGATTTCACAGTGAAGAACTTCAAACCGAACACTCATGCTCGGCGGTTTGGTTTTGTCAATAAAACACGTGGCGAAGTCCTGCTTTCCGGGAATCATCATATAGAAGATATGAATGATCTAAATGGATTTTCTTTATGAAAAATGGTCTTGGGTAACAATGTGAGTCCATGATGTCTCTTCCCATTAAAATAATGAGGTGCTGTTTAGTTAATGGTGAAAGATGTCGTGTGAGTAGCAAAATAAAAATATTACATATAAAAGTTAGGACATAATCCTTGTCCGTGGTTGGGAAGCAGTTGGCACTTGATGATTACTTTGTGGAAAATTGAATAACGAGAATAGCAATACATGTACGTGTTACTAATAATGTACCTTGTAAGGAAGCGATAATATATACTTTATTTTGTTTAAGGCATGTCATTATTATGAAAAAATGACATCATGCAATAGAATAAGAGTAGCTATCCAAACTACCGACCAATAATGTCCCAACTAAATGACGTCACTGACTACGCCTCCCTCTAGGTCCATACTAAATACACGAACGGTTGAAAGTTCATCCCCTTGCGCTTTCAACCAATCACAGGGTTTCACATCACGTGATAGTGAAATCTGGTGTACTGTTTTCTTTCAGGCACCGTTTGATGTGTAGTTTCTTGAAGTCCTGATCGACTTGGAAGTTTTAAAAATAATTTGCTGAGCTTTGTAACTTTGTCTTCAGCATCCCAATGAAATAAGGGCTGGTCGGGGTGTTCAAACCGCCATATGTTTCGCCATATATTTTTCTTGGACAAATCTCAGAAAAAAAAGAATTCTACAAACTTCTAGCCTACCTGACAGGACAAATCACAAACGAATGGGTTCTTCCCGTGTCGAATCAAGCAGGGTCAAATGTAGAATGAAATGTGTGATTGATTTTCGCCTATTTATGGGTATTGCACGTTATTAGTTACATTTGTCTGCTTCAGGCAGTCGTATAGCACGGTTAAAAACACAAAGGTATAGTGGAATTTATAATTTCAATGAAAAAGTAATGACAATTAAAATATCAAAACAATGCATTAAACTAAAAAGGTTGTCTGCGAACAAGAATGTCTTTTAAGTGTGAATAAGCCGGGTCAGTTGGTACTTTTTATTATCACTAAAGTAAGGAAATAAGTGTTATTCATTCGTATTCATATTTATTTCCACTAAGTAAAAAGAAAAGGTTTAGACAATAATTGACATAAGCGGTGGGCTTCTCTAAAAGGCAAGCTTCTCACCAGTTTATCTGCAATCGTTTATTTCCTAGGAGGCTTGGGGACAGCCCTTGAAAACTCAAAAAAAACGCAATACACATGCTTCAAACGATCGAGCTGAGGCTTGGAACACAGTTGACCCTCAAATGACACAAGAAGTTTACCTCAAGGGAGGGACCCTGGAATTTCCCAAATAACTGCGTTGACAGATGCGTTGATTCAGTGCCAGAAAGCCAAGTCATCAACCTTTATTGTAAACAGCAAACTCGAACAGAGTTTGAGTCTTTGCCAAGAAAACAACCAACATGCAGAGAACGCTTATTTGGTAAAGGCTTACAAAATTACCATTAACCAAATTAAACAGGTGCACAATCGTTCAAAATAACTGGTCAACTTTGATACGCATTTACTTCCGATTTTCAGAGTTACAGTTTTCGACATTGCCGAACTGGTGCACTTTTTCCCCACTTTTTTCCAATCATGGTGACAAACTTAAGTCGAAAATGTCATAGAAGGTAGCATTGAAATAAGCGGACCGATTAACACATTATACCGCTCGCCTGGAAGCATTTCATTGCCATGGCATGTTATACGAAATGATGTACAAAAGATATTTTGTCTTCCCTGTAAAGTAACATTTTGCAAAGTGACACACTTCCCCGCTTGGGTTTAGTGGTACATGTGCATAGCTACTTTAAATGGAAGGTTAACCTATCAAGAACTTGGCCAGTTTGTTTCAAACTGAAGCTTTCAAATAAACACATCTAACATGCATCAATA